GTTCAAACGAACTGATATAACTTTTACTAAGTGTTACATCGTTCAATAACTTTAAATTAAATATGAATTTTGTAAATCTAATTGTTATATTGAAAATTTAATTACTTTATATGTGTATATTAAATTTTATTAAAATTGAACAATAACTTGAGAATAATTAAAATATTTATATTTTAATATATTCTAAAATAAATATATTACGTCAATTTTATTTTATAAGAATGAGATAAAAAATTATCTTTTATATATATATAATATATATATATATATATATATATATATATTATTTAGTTTTCATGGGGGGATAAAACGCTATAGAAATTTTACAATTTTTCAATTTGGTATTCTTAATCAACTAAATATTTGATAAGGTGGGAAATGATTCGGAGATAATTATATCTTTTAAGTATCAAATCACGAGTTTAACATCTAAATTTGCATGTATTAAAAGTGTTTACCGAAAGTTTAGTTATATAAATCTTAGTATATAAAAAAATTAGTTTTTAATTTTGTATTTTGAAAATCGGAATTGAGTGACGAGTTAGACTGAAAAATTATCAACCAATCACTTAACTAATTCAATTAAATTACAAAATTGACCTAATAACCGGTCAAGAACCGGCTAAAGCATTGTTTACTTTTTTTTGTTTAAAATATTATTTAACTTTTTGTACAAAATAAAATATACCTCAATTATTTGTCATTTTCTTTACTATTTTTAAATATCAATTTTTTAATTAATAATAAATATGATGTTAAAACTGAAATTAAACTATTATAATATATTTTATTTGATATTTTTATGTACTTTAAATATTAAAATGTATAAAACTTATAAATATGATATTAAACCCTTAACTTAAATTAAACTATTATAATATATCTTAATTAATATTTTTATATATTTTAAATATCAAAATGTATGAAATTTATGTTTTGTTTTAAATTTATAATATTTTGTTTCTATAATATTATTTTATACATTATTAAATAATAATTACTATTTTATAAACATCAATTTAATGACTCATCACAGATTGTATTGTAGAATAGAGTCAAGTCAATCTTCCAAAATGAAGGCCGCCATATATAAATATTAAATAGCAACTCATTAATTTCAATTGAATCTACCCAACCAAGCACACATTTTTGCATCATATTCATTACACCAAAGTTGACCGATTGAAACCAACCATGGCTCTCTGCACCCCTTCCTTCATCTTCCTCAGCTTCTTCTTGTTCCTCTTCAATCTTCAACCCTCACTCTCCCAACAACAACAACAACTCACATCCTTCAACATCTCACACTCCCCATGGCACCCATCACAAAACAGAACCCTTCTCTCTCCCAACAAAAACTTCACTGCAGGGTTCTTCCCTCTTCCCAACTCCCCCAACCTCTTCACCTTCTCCATTTGGTACTCCAAAGTCCCTATAACTGCAAACCCCCTTGTGTGGAGCTCCAAAACCCAAGTCAACACTTCTGGGTCCCTTGTAATAACCCCAAAAGGTGAACTTTTTCTCGATGGTTCACCTTTTCAAGATGCTTCCAATGCTTCCTCCACCTCCAATTCCACCCAACTTGTTCTCCAAAACGACGGCAACTTGGTCTTTGGGAACTGGACCAGCTTCAAGAACCCCACCAACACGGTTTTGCCCAACCAGAACTTCAGCACTGGGATTGAGCTTCACTCCAGCAATGGGAAATACAGGTTCATCAAGTCTCAGTTTTTGGTTCTCAATTCCACCAATGATCAATACTACAGCACCCCAAGCCCCTTGCTGAGCATGGATGATGCAGGGAAAATGACCATGGCGGTTAACTCTTTCCTCACTTCAGACTATGGTGACCCCAGGTTCAGGAAACTGGTCCTAGGTGATGATGGGAATCTCAGGATCTACAGCTTCTACCCTGAGCCGCAGAATCAGTGGGTTGAGGTTTGGAAAGGGATATGGGAGATGTGCAAAATCATAGGTAGATGTGGGCCTAATGCCATTTGTGTGCCAACTGAGGATTTGAACATTTCCACTTACTGTGTTTGCCCATCTGGGTTTAGCCCAAACCCAGGTGGGCCTGAAGAGGGTTGCAAAAGGAAAGCCCCTCTTTCCCAACACACCCATTTTGTGAGACTAGATTATGTGAACTACACCAGTGATGGCAGCGTGAACCAAATCAATGCTGAGAACTTCACAATCTGTGAGTCCAGATGCTCAACAGACAAAACCTGCCTTGGATTTGGCTTCAAATATGATGGATCTGGCTTCTGTGTATTGCTCAAAGGGACAGAGCTTAGATATGGGTACTGGTCACCAGGCACCGAGGCTGCCTTGTTTTTGAAGGTTGACCAATCTGAGTCAGCATCCTCCAACTTCATTGGCATGACTGAGGTGATGCAAACCACATGCCCTGTGAACATAAGCCTTCCACTCCCTCCAAAGGACTCAAACACCACTGCGAGGAACATTGCCATAATCTGCACCCTTTTTGCTGCAGAACTCATAGTTGGGGTTGCCTTCTTCTGGTCCTTCCTCAAGAGGTACATCAAGTATAGGGACATGGCCACCACACTGGGCCTTGAGCTTCTTCTCCCTGCTGGGGGCCCAAAGAGGTTCACCTACTCAGAAATCAAGGCTGCCACCAATGACTTCTCCAACCTCATAGGTAAAGGAGGCTTTGGAGATGTCTACAAAGGGGAGTTACCAGACCACAGGGTGGTGGCAGTGAAGTGCCTCAAGAATGTCGCAGGAGGAGAGGAGTTTTGGGCTGAAGTCAGAATCATTGCCAGAATGCACCACCTCAACTTGGTCAGGCTCTGGGGCTTCTGTGCTGAAAAAGGCCAAAGGATACTTGTGTATGAACACATCCCTGGTGGCTCATTGGACAAGTATCTCTTCAGGATCAAGTCTCATCTTCCCAAAGACCAATCAAGTCCTCAACCAAGGCCTGTTTTGGATTGGAGCATGAGGTACAGAATTGCCCTTGGTGTGGCAAGGGCTATTGCATATCTACACGAGGAGTGTTTGGAGTGGGTTTTGCACTGTGACATAAAGCCTGAGAACATTTTACTTGGGGATGATTTTTGTCCTAAGATTTCAGATTTTGGGTTGGCCAAGTTAAGGAAAAAAGAGGACATGGTGACCATGTCAAGGAGGAGGGGCACTCCAGGGTACATGGCACCAGAATGGATCACTGCTGACCCAATTACTGCCAAGGCTGATGTATATAGCTTTGGGATGGTGCTGTTGGAGCTTGTGAGTGGGATCAGGAACTTTGAGATCCAAGACTCTGTGGTTAGAAGCGAAGAGTGGTACTTCCCTGGTTGGGCTTTTGATAAGATGTTTAAGGAGATGAGAGTGGAGGAGATTCTGGATGGCCAGATTAGGGAGGCTTATGACAGTAGGGCCCACTTTGATATGGTTAATAGGATGGTCAAGACTGCCATGTGGTGCCTACAGGATAGGCCCGAGTTGAGGCCCACTATGGGGAAGGTGGCCAAGATGTTGGAAGGGACTGTGGAGATCACTGAGCCCAAGAAGCCCACTGTTTTCTTCCTTGGGGAAGAGTAGTAACGTTTTTTTTTACTTTGTGTAGCCTCTCTTGTTTCAGGCTTGCTTGCTTATGAGAATATGACTCTCTTTTTATTTCTTGTACTGGCATATATGGCAGCATGTATGCTCAATAGTTGAACAATATCAAATCAATTGGGTGATCAAGTGTATAAATATTACTCTTATTTTTCTTTTCATTATGGTGTATTCTGTTCAAGATCAGTCTCTACGAATGAGTAACAAATTTTAGCCAAATCAGACATATGTAAACGTCAATATTTACATGTTTAAGATAATGTAGTTTAACATAAAGATTGTATGTTGATTCCTTCATTGAAATATATTAATAACCATTAACTGTCATCAAAGCCAACCGCACGAGCAACATGATTTATCTGTATATTGTTATTCCACATGATCGGTGATATTGAAGTGGTAAAGATTATATAAAAGTGAAATAAAAGGGAAATAATCACACCCACATGAATAGTGCAACATGTCTTGTCCAATTTGCAGACCAAACCAAACAATACTCACCAAATCAATTTCATTGGCAATAGATTGGGTCATTTTAATACTGGCAGACTAACACCTACGGACAACTATCCCACATGTTTTCAAAGGAGACAAATCTTTGTTCAACATTTCAACTTTTTTTTTTATCAAAAAACATGAATTGGTATTTATTGTTGAGAATATGAATCAGCATATATAATTTGAGTTTATTTCAGATTAATGGAGCATTATTAGAATTTCTACGATTATGAATTTTAATTATAGGAATTATAGATGTTGTTACACTTTTATGAGTATTTACATTTGTCATTTAGTTTTATGTTTATGAACAAAATTTGTATCAGCTTTCAATTGTGTTTTGTGTATTTAAAAGGTTGCAAGTATGAATAAAAATATATGAGTTTCAGCCTTCTAATTTTTCTGAATTCCAACAAGTGTTATCAAGAGCTTGCTTCTTATGGGCTATGAGGAAAAGTTTATTGAGCGCTAAACACATTGAGGTTGAGTGCAAACATTAAATTGAGTGATTTATTGTTTAAACAATTTTTGGTGTAAGGATGTCTACTTCCACCAATTCACCTACAATTCTAATGTTTAATGGTGAAAATTATCATATTTAGGCCGTCAAGATGAAATTTGTTTTAAGATCTCAAGGCTTATGAAATGTTGTAATTTCTGAAGCTGATCCACCACCATTGAGAGAAAATCCAACCATTGCACAAATCAAAGCTTATGAGGAGGAGAAGTTAAAGAAAGATAAAGTCATCACTTGTCTACATGCAAGACTTGCAGATCATATTTTTACTAAAATCATGGACTTGAAAACACCTAAACAGGTGTGGGACAAGATTCAAGATGAATTTGAAGAAAAGTAGTAGAGTCAAATCTGTCAGACTTCTCACATTGAAGAAAAAATTTGAATTGATGAAGATGAAGGATAATGAATCTGTCAAAGATTATTCTGGCAGATTAATGGATGTTGTGAAACAAATGCGACTTCTTGGTGAAACATCATTTACAGATCAAAAGGTTGTCGAGAAAATCATGGTTTCGGTGCCTGAAAGATTTGAAGCCAAGATTTCTGCAATTGAAGAGTCTTGTGATTTGCAAACTCTCACAATTACTGAATTGACCAGCAAGCTTCACGCACAAGAGCAAAGAGTCTCCATTAGAAGTGATGAAGCTCTTGAAGGTGCCTTTTGAGCAAAGCACAATGGAAGGAATTTTGGAAAGTCATGAGCTTTCAATAAGAAAAAAGGAAAAGATGAAGGTTCTTCGAGAAAAGGAAATTTTTGCCTTGTTTTCATTGTCAAAGAACCAACCATTCTAAAGAAGATTGTTGGTTTAAAGATAAACCACTTTTTCACTGTAATTTTTGCAATAAAAATGGTCACAGTGAAAAGTATTGCAGATTAAAGAAGAATCAGCCTGAACAACAACTAGAAAAACAGGCAAATGTGGTTGAAGAAAAAAATGATGATGAAGATGAGTATTTATTTATGGCATCTCAAGAATTCAATTCACATGAATTGAATACTTGGCTCATTGACAGTGGTTGCACTAGTCACATGACTAAATATTTATCATTTTTTACTTCCATTGACAAATCAATTGAGTCAAAAGTCAAGATGGGAAATGGTGAAATTGTACAAGCCAATGGAAAAGGAACAATTTCTATTGCAACCAAGAAAGGTATGTTAATTGTTAAAGATGTTCTCTACATTCCAAAATTGGATCAAAATGTTCTTAGTGTTCTACAAATGCTAAGGAATGGTTATGGAGTCTCTTTTAAAGAGAATTATTGTTTTATCATAGATGAACATGATTTAGAGATTGCAAAGATTGAGATGACCAAAAATGTTTTTTATTTCAAATTTGATTTGGTTGAAGATCATGATTTTATTGCTAAAATTGATGAGAGTAATGTTTGGCATGGAAGATTTGGTCACACTTTTATGCAAGATGTATTTGATATGACAAATTCCAACAAATGGTATTCAGAGACAGGAGGAGGAGTTAGATTGAATGACAAGATCAATTGGCAACATCTTCACAAAGGCACTTCTAAAAGAAAAGTTTGAGAACTTGAGAAGGAAACTTGGAGTTAATAACTACTGATACAAGGAAGAGTGTTGAGAATCTGAATCAGCATCTATTATTTGAGCTTATTTCAGATTAATTGAATATTATTAGAATTTCTAAGGTTATGAATTTTAATTATAGGAATTATAAGTACTGTTACACTTTTATGAGTATTTACATTTGTCATTTAGTTTTATGTTTATGAGCAGAATTTATATCAGCTTTCAATTATATTTTGTGTATTTTTGGTTGCAAGTATGAATAAAAATATATGAATTTCAGCCTTCTAAATTTTTCTGAATTCCAACATTTATACGTGTGGATAGATTGCTGTGCACAAGCTAATAATTACAGTAAGTCAAGCAGATTTATTATCATTAACATACTGAAGAGGTTGAGATTGCCTAGGTTGCACATATTGTGAACCATGTACTTACAAAAGCCATAGTTGCGGTTTTTCTAATATTATGCAGAACCATGAAAATGGATCATCTTCACCATGAACATGTGCAGAGGCCACTGTTATTTGTTTGGGGAATTGGTTAGAATGTTAGCTTTTTAATCACAAGTTTGGGCTCAAAATTCCTCATACAATCCATGATGGCATGATATTGTTGGGGGAAAATCCCCTTCTTAAACAATAAAGATAAAATAATGGACACATGCAAATGCAACACAAATATAAAAATAGCAAAGACAGGAGTTTAATGTGATTCGATATCTTTTACCTATGTTCACAGGAACATTTCAAACACATTACAAGTTTTTTTTAACAAATTTGAGAAACCCTCCCCTGTCTCATAATGATTGCATTTTAAAGTTTTTACGCAGATTAAGAACTATAATAAATATATCACTTTTTGATACAATTTTACCAAAATAAACTACATTATTAATATATATATTATTTTTAAATGATAGATGAATAATTTATGGAAAGGCAAGTTAAGAAAAAGTTAATTGATATTACATTAAAAATGAGAACACCATTCATTTTGAAAAAAATTTCAAATGCTAAAACTACAACTATTTTAAGATGAAGGAAATACTTTACATGGCAAATCAAGACTTAAAAGTTATGTTATATCAAAGTCTATGAAGTATCAACACATCTACAAAATATGTCTTAAGACACCTGTTCAACACAACTTTAACACCTTTTGAATAAGATTTGGAAACGAGACAAGATAGTGAATCAACTTCTATTCTTAACTAAACACTTATCCAATATTTTTATTATTAAAAAAATCAACTTATTTATAAATATTATAAAACTTTTAACATTTTTTTATATGTTATGAGACTCTTTTCCATATGAATTACTTGTTATTTTAATTTTTAAAAGATATGATTTATATTCTAAGAATCATTATCATCTAATTATGTTATTTGTATCTGGGTCGTGTTTGATGTTTGTATCGTACTTGGTATTAAAGAAATTTTGACCCACAAATATACACTTCAAAATTTGGTGATTATGAAAACAAGTTACCTCAAACATTCTTTTAGACTAAAACAAGGTCACAGAGAGACTTAAATTCGAATCTAATCATTTATTAGCATAAATGTCCAATTACACCTACTGTCATATGTCATGATAAAAATAAAAATAAAAATAAAAATAAAAATTAAGCACAACTAAACCTGAATTAAAGAATGTAGGCAAATAAAATGTGTAAATACCATAGGTAAACTAAGTTTGAGCCAACAAAATGAAATTGCTTTCTTAGTCAATATATTTATGAAGATGATATTTTTAAAAAAAATATAGTGTTAATATAAAATTATTTAAATATTATCAATATTTATAATCATCATATATTTTTTAAAATTATTTATACACACATCTATTAACATATTTATATAATGTAAAAAAAAAATCATTAAAAGTTCCTCTCTCTATATATAAATTATGTACAATCTGTACTGCAAGGCCGAGCTCCCAGCTCGGCATCGCAACGCATGACGATCTCAGATACGCGCTACGTGACATCAGCTCGTCACTTAACCAGATCATAACTGATCTGAGGAGATCTCGGTCCAGACGAGATTCACTATCTAATTAGATCATAACTGATCTAAGGCCCAAGGCCCAACGCAACCCTAATCCATACTAAGGTACGTGCATTACTTATACAAGACATACACTCATACAAACCCTAACTTTAGCATCGGAGTCTCTTTTGCAGGTACCCTCCCATCTTGGAACACCAACGTACCAGCGAAGGAGGCTCACCAATCATACTCGGCAGATCATCTCTATGGCAGATTTCCGGTAAGAACATTTGGCGCCCACCGTGGGGCCGATCGAGACAAGCTCTTATCGGCCACGCTCATGGGATTCACCAGAAGCCATAGTAGACGCGTAACAGACGACGCAGAACATTCAACTGCCATGGATAACGAAGCCACATTAAGGAGACTGATCGACCAGGTTGAACAGATGCGGCAACAACACGATGCCGATCTACGCAACATGCCTGCCAAGCATGAAACCGACCTAGCGGCAATGCAGACCGCCAATGAAGCCGACCTGGCGGCGTTGCGCGCCGAGAATGAGCGTATTCGCGCTCAACTCCCTCGGCATCCCTCTGATCCTCAGCCTCAGGCGAGCAACCTCCACGGGGAAGAGACACACTCAGTCTCCCAGCCCCGAA